CACATTTCACTGACAAGTTTATTTTACAGATGACTAATTTACAGACAAGTCCATTTCACTAACAAGTTTTTTTATAAACCGCACTATTCTAAACCTAACCTAACGACGATGACTAGAATTAACTGTTAGTAAAATATACTGTCTACAAAATGAACTTGTCTGTAAATTAATCGTCGGTGAAATGTGGTGTCGTTAAGTGTGATTGTTGGTGAATTGATCAGAACCAGAACATATCTTGCTTAGTATATTTTGTTAAATTGTATTCTGTTTAATACATAACTTACATCTCATTATCGCCACTAATAAAGATGCTATCGAAGCGATGAAATAATTTCACCATTATTGGTGAAATTAATGTTAAATTAGTGAAGTTGGTGAAATTAATTTCACCAGCATCTCTAGTCTCTAATCTAAATTCTTATAAATTTTAAAATTTTTAAATAAATAAAATGATAAAATTTATTTATATTGAATCATAAGTAAACCATTTTAACTTACTACAGGTAATGTCTTAGATGCAATTGTATATTATTGTCCGGAGTGTAGAACTTACAATAGATAAGTAAATAGATAAAAATATCATTCTAACAGTATCTGTTTTCCTAGGGGTGTATGTGATTGTCTTCATATAAAGCTACTCTTTACCATCTAACCACATTGCTGAAACCATTATATATGATTGATCAGAATCGGTATGGTATGGAGATGTAAAGTACCGATTTTGATATTGATTTTTGGGATTTTATAATAGGAATTTTAGTTTGCACAATTGGTTGTTTTTTTTTGCGATAACTATTGAGCTTGTAAAGTCAGTTGCTTTTTATAGTACATACAAATATTGATATCTATTGCAAGCAAATTAACGATAATGCCCATGCACACATACTCAAGTAGCATATTATTTCGTGAAATTACTGTCAAAAGCGAGTTTTAAGCTAATATATCTAAACAAGTACAAAAGTATAATTATTAATACATGTGTATGAATAATTAAAGCAGCATTTGAAATCTATTTATATATATATTTCAAGTTTTAAACATGAACTAACA